AGAACCTTCTAGAAAGAAGTCTCTAGAAACTTCCAAAAGATTCCTTGAATATTCTCTTAGAATATTCTTTAAAGATTCTCTAAAGATTCTTTGAAGATTCCCTAAAGATTCCCTTAGAAGGCTCTAGAAGATTCTTAGAATATTTTAGTAGATTCTAGAATGTTACTTGAGAAGCTTCCTAGCTCTTGGGTAGTTGCTCGAGAAGCTTCATAGTTCTTGAGAAGCTTCTTGATGCGCTTCCTTAGAACCATAGGCCAGTAGTATATATAGGAGTTGAAGCTGAAGAGTTCTTCAGTCTCGACAATACATCTCTTGAAGCTCTAGCTCAATTCTCTTGGCGTTGCTCTTGTACTCATCTGATAATCTAGTTCTTGCCATTTCTTCTTGAACTTCTTGTTTAGATTTCTTGTTTGTATTTTTGGTCCGTGACAATCCTTTAGTTCTACTTCTTGCTGGATCCTAAGCTTAAAACCTTATAAAAATCAATCCATCATCTTTGACTCTGAAATATTATTAATTTGGAGATGTAGAAACTTAAATCGAGAAGCATAATCTTACATCGACCTAGATTGTATAAGATTTTCAAACTAATTACATACTATCTTCTCTACATTGATGGCCCAAATTGATTCTTAAACTTGGTCTCAAACTCCTTCCAATCACAAAATCCACCTTCAGCTCCATAGCTTTGAATTCAATGTTGCCACTAAATAGTTGTCGCATCTTTCAAATAGCTGGCTGCATACATAATTTCTTCAGTGGAATTTGCTCCAAATAGTTAGAAGTATTGTCACATGTTAGAGAGCCATTGACGTATATCTTCTTGTCTTGAAGTTTTAGAATATGTACTAGGCTTATTCAATTTTAACAAAGCTGATGTTGTCTCCCTTGTCTTAGAGACTTCTATTTATCCTTGTAAAGTAGCTATTTGGCCTATGAGATGTTGTATTTGAACCTTCATATAGGATTGTTCTATCATATCTCCCATTATGTAATTTCTTTACTGGATTCTACTATTATAATACTTTGTCACCTTCTGATTGATTTTTTAAGAGTAGCTCGTAGTAGCATCAAATCAATATCTAATGTGACTACAACAATTGACCTCAAACTAGATGATAGCTATTGACATACTATCAAAGAACAGTCTAACATTCACTTTGATATTAATGAAATAGAACCAGTCTATCTTAAGTGTACTTACATAAAGATCTACAATAGTTGCAAATCTATTCTCACTTCCACCAAGTATATCATTTATAAATTTTCCTTCTATTTCAAATAACTTAAAAAATATATAAGTTAAATTAAAGGAAGGTGATCTGTAACTTCTAATATTGAATGAAAATATCTACAAAAAAAGATAATCTATTCTCTTTAAGGAAAAAAATATGGTTTTAGTAAACTAAATAGTTTTTTTAAAGGTGGGTAATCCACAACCTTCAAAATGCAATAGTAGAAGTGGAATAATCCACTCATTTCTAAAACAAGACAAAAAAAATAAGTTAGCACTTTTATCAAACTATCAATACATCTTTTTTTCATTAAAAAAGTCTAGAAAATTAATCAAAGATGGTAATATATTGAATTAGAATAGTTATTATAAAAGATAAAAAGATTAGAAAGTCTTGAAAAAAGACTAAGGACTAAAAAGGCATTGACAAAAGTGAAGAAGGCTTCACTCTTGCCCCGATATATACTTTAACTAGGAGCTATGTGGTGGTGTCTTATAGGACCTCCAAAACGTGTTGACTTTAGAAGACACGTATCTTAACTTGCATGGCAAGTTTTCTATATAAGCACCACATAGTTAGCTTGTTCCGGAAGCTATCAATATGTGATTAAATTTTTGACCAATTTTCTAACCTACCAATCAACTACAAACATATATAAAGTCAAAATAGGATCTATAAAGCTTCTAGAAAGAAAATATTATGAAATAAATCTACTTTTATTTACTTCTATTTAATTATTTAGATAAATATTAAAATAAATATGTATGTTTGTAACAAAGAATTGTCAAGAAAAACCAAGATAGAATCTAATTTTTATTTATGCATACATGTTATACATTCAAGTGTATAGATCTAAATTATGATGGTGTGATTATACCAAATGAGATGTAGTATTTTTATAAGCTATAACTTCATTGAATGGAGTGTATGGCTCAAGAGTCTATTCTTTTCAAAGATGTTGTTTGTCAAATGGTTTCTTATAATAGGGCGAGTGGTAAGTATTTACTTTTGAAGATTTATACTAGTCCATTCTCTTCTTTGAGTTACTTTAGTGTTGAATGAATTAGTTGGTATTTAACATGAGTGTATTGTTGAAATCTATCTTTTATTTAGCATTGAATATTAAAAAGATAAAGCAGTTATATGATACAAACATCAAAATAATTATAACCACTAGCATTTGACAAATGAAGAATGCATATACAAAATACTTTAGAAGTGTTCAAAAATTAGAATGTACTCATGAATAACAAATTAGCGATATTTTTCTTTGCTCCATAGCAAATTCAAAATCTTCTTTAAACCTTCTTCTCAAGTCTAAGTTTGTTCTTATACTCACAAGATAGAATTAGACACATAAGTATTTATTTTTCATCTAAGCTAGAATATACATGTAACTCAATCCAATTAAAAATCAACATTAATATTCATGAAGTTAATATTTATTTGAATATAATTAAAGATGGCTTGCATTAGAATCCCATCCTCTTTTGGAATATACATTCCACAAACTAAATTAATATGCGTCTGATCATATTTTCAATTATAAAGCTTTTAGTTTCTTCTCTCAAAGATTTGTATAACAGCAATATTCTAATATTTTGCAAATGACTTAGCTCCTCACTCCTTCCACCCCTTCTTTAGCTTTTCTTTGCTCATAAAACCACTCTCTTGTTGTATATTACATTACAAGCATTGAACATCATCAAATTTGATTATCATCCTTTAGGATCGACTTATAGACTTATTAAATTATGAATAAGAGTATTTCAAAGTATTCATTTGCAGTTACTATTACAAATAGTTTGATTGGAGTATCGCCAAGTAAATTGCAGAGATGGTTGCCTTGAACTTATTGAGCATAAGTTGCTTACTAGCTTTAGTTGAACTTCCATTATTGGAAAGACTAAAGAGCAAGGTTCATTACTTGAAGTTGTGAGATTCAAATCTAAGCTTGCACAACAATACTTGATTATCATATAAGGTGGCTAGGAACGAGGTTTAGAATGGCCTGCATAGGAAATAAGAAGATTGAGAATAACAAGAATAAGAATGGAAAAGCATGAGCACTATAATGATTTCAATTTGGATTGATTTAATAAAAATTTGAGTTACTTTATTATTTCTTTAGATATATATATATTATAATCATTTAAATAATTACTAATATGATTTATAAATTTTTAAAATTATGAATATGATTATATTTTATTTTTTATTAGTATAAAATTAAATTATTATAAATAAAATTTTAAATAATTTTTGTCCTTTAATAAATAGTTTAAAATATAATATAATTTATTACAAAATTTATAAAAATACTCTTGGTATTTTATTTTTATTTTAGTTTATTTTAGTTTATTTTAATTTATTTTTCCTTGAATTACTCAAATACTATAAAAAAATTAATTCTAAAAAATATATACAAAAAATTTAAAAAATTAATCATAATTTGATGCATTTTTTAAGATGTTAGTTTAATTAAAAATATATATGTATTAAATTAAAAAAATAAAAAATTAGATACAATTTTCTAATATCAAGTTTTTGTGCTTTTAAGATAATTACAATAATTTGATTTTGAAATATTTGAGATGAAGTTTTATCAATTGATATAAATACAAAGTTTGAATTATATGAATATAAAATCACCAAGATTTTGTATAATTTATGCTTTCTTAACAATATAGATTATATACTAAACCAATGAATAAACTAATCAATAAAATTATAGAACCCTTGTGAATTCATAAACTAAATTTCAAAGTAAATGATTTGCTTATTACATCTCCCCCACAACACACCCACTAAGCATTTCAAGTACAAATTGGACTCAATTGTTATGTAATTTGTATTGATCTAGAAAAAAACCTGCAATTAAAAAGGACTGCATGATTGGAGCTTTTTTCACATGATAAAAGAAAAATAAATAAATAAATAAATAAATAACCAATGAGCATTAATGCCTAAGTGCCCATGTGGATCACATAAACACAAATGAAAGCAAAAGGAGGGTATCACCGCACACATACCTCTCCCTCTGCATAGACACTTGGCAGCGGGTAGAGTTTACGAATAAGATCATCCAATGGATGATTTCATTTAAAGATGAAGCCCATCCACGTTGATGTGAAAAAGATAAGAATCGGATACTAACATTACGCATTGAGGTTCAGAGACAAAAGGGTGGGCGCATATGCTAGAAAAAATATGCCACGCGGCGAGCCAGCTGGCGGGGGGATATGCCAGATTCCGACCAGAGGGGGGTATGCGCGGGAATATGCCAACGACGCGGGAGTTGTCCACCTGGACACTCCAACCACAGCCCCCCTTTCACGTCACCCAGCCCGGGGTCCCTTTCCTTAGCAATCTGCATGAAGTATCGACGACGGGATTACGCTCCTCGGTGGACAAAACCCCTTTGGGCGGAGGGCAGAACACCGGCGGGGACGAATTGCATTCAGTAATCCCAGGTGGAATGAAAATACCATGTAATCTTTGTAAGGGAAAGAAATGAAAGGTAAGGGGGGAAAGGAAAAAAGGAACAGAGAATCTGGAGCCTGTCCTGTCGGAAGGAGCTCGACAGACCCAAAACGAGGCGGAGAACTGGGAGTACAATGGTGCGAAGACTGTGCCAATGGGGACTCGCGCGGCCGACGTGGCAGTGTGTGGTCATTGTCGATCGCCACCTCATCGGGCAACGAGGAGGAGAGAAGGGCGGGGCGGGAGCGAGGGCGTGGTGAGCTGGCCATGGCAACTTGGGTGTGGGATTCGGCGGTGGTGCAGGATGGAATTATCTCACGGCCCTACGTTGTGAGAGTTGTGCCTTGTTTTGTGGCTCCATCGCCTTTTCACGCTCTCGTGTTACCAGGTCCTGCTGCACGTCCCCGCTGTTGGTCTCGCTTCCACTGCAGTGCACATCCGCGGGCAGGTATGGGATACGTCACGGTGTAGTTTGACTAGCAGGAGTGGTTGCATTTTTTTTTTTTTTTTTTTTTTTTTGTTTGGTTGTTGTTGTTGTTGTTGTGTATCCTTGGTCGACGTAGAGGGCAACGATTTAGAGGATTGGATTTGAGCGTTGTGGCGATATCCGGTGGATGCACATTCTGTGCTGCAGTCTAGGACGGTGCGCGCGCGTGTGTGTGTGTGTGTGTCAGAGTGCTCGCGTGAGCTTCAAGGTTGAGTGGTTACTTGATTGAACTTGAGAACCTGACGTAGCACTGAAGGCGCTGCTGCATTGGCTGTCTCAGTGAAGGAATGATTATCTTCTTGTCCGAAACAGGAGTTTAAAAGAAATGTGGTTACTGCGTTGTTTCGATTCCGAGAAGCGGTAAACGGGTATTATCAGGTGTAGCGGGAGTTTGAGTATCGTGAAGAGGTTTTCACGACCGAGATTTGTGCGGGTGTGCAGCTTTGGATTTGGTAGTTTGTGCAGCGGAGATAGCATCTCTAGTGTTGGTTCACGTGACGTAGAGCAGGTAAGAGGGAAATTCCATGTGAGAAGGGGATTGACGCCGTGCAGGTTTACTTATGTCCAGCCAAGGACAAGTGATCATCTTTCCTGCGTGTGTCTTCCTAGGTTTATGTGTGACTTGATCATTCACTTCTGGGATTGTGCAAGCTCTACGTTATGTAGCAGGCTCTGTTGTGCACTGTTATATTTATTCGTCCTGAGTAGCAATTATTTTGAAATTCCGTCGCATTCCTTGATATTATCCTCATTTTTATTTTCATTTTATTTTTTTCCCCTCCTACTGTTCTGGTTTGATACATGGTGCAAACCGTGGTTTTAGAGCAATGATTAGTCTTTTTTGATAATCACTTGTTAGTCTTCGCATTGTTTGCTAAGCTGTATGACGGCATTATTACGATACCGTCTGGAATGTCCTAGTGTGTGGGCATCACCGCACTACCGTGTGATTTCCATGCAACATTTTGTCGCAATTACCATGTTCTTGAAGTGAACCTTTCTGAATCTTATCGCCCATTCTCCTGGGAGGTACCGTCTTGAGATTGGTGACTTAGAGTTCAAGTAGGCCGCTTTACTTAACCATTTGTCGTTTTTGCCGTCCAGCTTCCTGCATTTTGACTTGAGAGTTACGGTTTCGATTTTGAATAGTGTTCGTAACTTCTGGCTGTATGTGATGGTGTGTTATTCATATGGCCTCCTCTAGGTGAAGAATTGCTCCGCGGCTTGCACCCACTCAAGTCCGTGCAAACACAAAATTTCACGAAGACCAATTAGCGATTAGCTATAAATTGGATTCGGGAAGCATGCCTTCCTTTTGTTCCTGGTAGCTTAAAAGCTTCACCTTCGCATGGGCTCATGAGGGTTTTTTGACGGGCAGGATGGCAACTCTTTAATTGAATTGGATTACTTGGGTTTTTTATGAGACACGCATCAATTTTTAGTATGTCCTATGCCTTTGTTTTTGTCTCTAAGATTGTCATCCGAATTTGTGAATGACTGATTGTATGACGGATTGCGGATGCTCTTACCTAAGAAACATTGGCAGTGGAATGAGAACTCGCAGATGAAAGATTCGTGCTCTTTTTTGTTTTCATGGTTCTTAGAATCATTGTAACTTGCCTGGAAAGGAATTCATGTGATTGGAAAGTGTAAAAAACTTTTACCATTATCTAAAACATGTACACACTATTCCTTGTTTTCTCAGGATGTTAGGTAGGTGATAACCTTTCTCCAGCGGAGTACATTGAAGACATATTGGAACATCAGAGGGAACAAAGACGTTATTAGCCTGGACATAGAACTGATAGTTCCATGAGTGCCTATGTCAAGGACTTAGTTATTTAGTCATTGGGACACAATGGCTCGTGGAAAAATGAGTGGGTTGTACCGTGGTAGTGGCGATTGGCATGAGGATATTACAAAGTTTATTGGAGAAAAGAGGGTTGAGTATCCTCCTAAGGTAAGGAGTTGACCTTTTATTTTACTCATCTTGCCTCATCTGCGAGATCAGTCTTTAGATTCTTATGATTGATTGCTTACAACCGCTGTTTAACGTGGTTCGCAGGTGGTGAAGAAAACTAAGGAGTTGATTACCAAACAAGCCACAGTAATAGCTAAGCGTGCAGATGAGCATGAAGATTTTTTAACAAAGGTTGTATACTCCGTATTCACATAACTTTTGTGCTTCTGTACTTTACTCTGCAGGTTGATTTATGTTGCTTTTCTGTTTCATGCTCCTGGATCCTTTCGTCTTGTTTAGGTAAGCTGACTCTTTGTTGTACCACTTCTGTAGGTGACATATTGTATAGGAGTTGTCTCCTTCGGGACATTTTGCTACTTGTTGGGTTCAAGTAAGTTTTTACTACATTAATTCTTGTGTGTAACTTGATTTTAATGATATAAATATCTGGTCGCGGGCCTGTAATTTTTTGGGTAATATTCAACGGATGTTTTGATATAGAGAAAATTCATCCAGATCAGGCGGACTGACGAGGTTTACTTGATGGCAGAACCTGCTGATATTCCTAAGCTGTACTGTCTGTTCTTTATCACGGTGGCACCTCTAAGATGGATCTATTATCGTATCAAGAAATGGCATTATTACCTTTTGGTAATGGTTACTAATTCCTTCAGTTATGCTAACGAATACAACTGTATTCATTCTCCATTTATGATAGATATTTTAACATGACTACGTTCACCCGTTTATTCTTATTGAATATTGAAAATAGATTTGTCTACTTGTGTAAGCAGGATTTTTGCTACTACGCCAATGCAATATTTGTAGTGATGCTTCTCTTTTACCCAACGAATGACAAATTGTTCCTGATATGCTTCTCTTTTTCAGAGGTTAGTGCATTGTTGCCAATAGGCCTCAACCCTCTCTAGCAGTCATTTCTGGGTTCTATGATGCTAATTGTTATTATAATGTGCTATTATAATGTGTTGCTTATATGGTAGAGAAAGGAGCCGCTTCATTTTAAAATGATAAGTAACGGTGTGTTTTGCAGGGACCACTGGCATGGGCTCTAATTGTTTGGCGCTGTAGTCTTGTGTTCAGCTCTATCGACAAGATTATAAGTGTTCTTATTCATCTACTTCCAGGTTCGCAACTGGGGTCTGACATCTTATGGTTGATGCATTTTTTTCAATCACAAGCTCGGTTCACTACACGTCCTAGCAGTGGTAATAAAACTGATATAAACGTGTATTTTTTTCTTGGGTTAAATACAGGGACGGTTTTCTTCATTATAAGGTGGTGGGACCCAATCACGTTTGCACATCACGCTGTTGATGACACAGGACCCTGGCCAGCGTGGCCTCTCTTGGAGAATGATCGGCAGTTGTGGACATGGCTCTTTGTTGTGCCCCTCATTGCATACAGTGTCTGGCAGATCCTCTATCTGCTAGTTGTGAATGTGCTTAGGCATCAACGGCTGCTGAAGGATCCCGAAGTCATGACGTCATTCAGGTCTTTGTCAGATCTGTAGTTAATTAAGTCTTTTGTGCAGTAAATGACTGCAGCTTGAGTTGAAAGCATTCTTTCTATTCTAATTCGTTGATTTTATTGGATATGATGAAATTCATGGATATAATGTCACTGAACCTGCAGAGAACTTTCTCGCAAGGCATCCCGTGCGAACAATATCTGGTGGCGTCTCAGTGGATTGTTAGGCGATAACAACCGTGTTGCAATGTATGCTATACTGCAAGCCATATTCACCGTTTTTACCATGGCCCTTACGATACCATTGTTCAAGCATTATAAAGTCCACATCACTTTTGAGTGTTTGAAGGTGGCAGCCTCTGTTTGGAATGGTGGAATTTTCTTCTTTGATGTTCTGCCACGGAAGATGGACGCCAAGAAGAAGAGGAAGTTCGTTCCCACTGTCGAGGCTGCAGCAGTTTCAGTTTCTCTCAACACCACCGGTTTGCCTATTGAAGGTGCTTCAGTCCTTGATCCGCCTCTCTCACCTGGCAGAGATACTTTAAAACTGGAAGAGTTAAAAACTGCTGACAGCGAGTATCTTTGCTCTTTGTGCAAGAAGCCAAGCTCTATTGATCTCAATGACGTCGATGCATACGAGAGCTTTGATGGGCAAGTACATGTTCGCAATGGACGGAAACTTGATTCTGATCAACCAGTTACCAATGACATTGGTTTTCCGAAGCAGAGCACTTCAAGCTCGAGCAAGGAATTCAATGCTATTAAAGGATCGGTTGCCTCTCAACTACAGGCAGCTGTCTCTGCAAGCTGATGCACTGCAACAGCGCCGTCGACAATTGGAGGGAATGTAAATTGGGTGTCGAAAAAAGTTTTATGATGCTGTCACTGTTTAACTTCTGCCTTGATTGGTTCTAGCGTAGGGATGTCTCTAATGCTAGTTACTTTAATGGGCTTTACATATGGTGTCAACAATTAGAACCAATAGAACAATTAGAGTTGATCAGCCGTTTGCATTTTCATCATGTGAAATGTGATGGAATTAGTGGCTCCGTGTATAGTAAACCATCATTAGGTATTACATTATACCACTTACAGAGAATGACTGTTATGGTATCACCATACCCTACAGAGTTGTACAGTAGTATGCTGCTTCAATAAAACCCATCAGTTGTGTGTTCTTCTATGCCGATTGAATGTGGGTTATCCGATGGACGTAGTGGGCACAGGAGCTGAAGGAATCGATCTTTGATGCCGATGGATTCCTGCCCCAGCTTCAATATTTCGTCTCAGCGCCATGATAATCTACCTTATTGAAGATATTTCGCGGACAAAGTTTATTCAATGAAGCAGAGTTTCTATTATTCACTTCTAAGGGGTTTGCACACCAGCACCGCAGTATATAATCTTTACATAAAGTAAAAACTAGCTGGATGTACAAAATAACCTTCTTATTCCTACGTCAAGGCATTGCTACATTATGTGAACCGCAGCTTCCCAAAACAACAAATACATGCCACTGAATACAAAAGTTTGCAAAATTGGTCACAATGATTAAAAAAAAAAAAATTACAAATAGAGAAGACTCACAGTGGTGTACTACATCAGCTATTATTAACAAGTAAGAAGGGTCATTTTTCTTGAAACTCAATTCCTTTGTATATGCATCACATGTTTTAATGATTCATCTTTTTTGCCTTAAGATCGCTTGATCACCCTTCTAGCACCTTATAAGAATAAAATTACATATTATATACCACATATTACTTATACGATATCCTTTGTAAGATTCAATAGGCCCATTTATCCTTTGGAACTCATGACTTTTCAAAAAAATAAAATAAAAATTACAGAAAGGTTACTGAGTAATTTTTAAGATATTATACAATAATTTAAATTTGATTTTTACTATCACAATTTTTGTTTTGTGAATTGTTTCTTTTTTTTTAAGTAGAGTTGTTGCATCAATATGAATTCTTGTTTGCAACTCTATAAAATAATTGAAGATAAATAAATAAATATATATATATATATATATATATATATTATATATAAGGAAGCAATATACTTATCAATAATTAGTGTGTGAACTCAAATAGTGCTTATTTAAAATTAGTGTGATATATACTATTTATAGGATAGGACTCTCTAGCTGCTTCATTGATTGTAGAGTAAGTGTGTGTACTTATGTTTGCTGTAGTTGTATGCAAACCTATCTATAAGTTATATATACTATAGAATTCACACTATTTAAGAATAAATATGAATAGTGTGATACACACTATTTAAAATATCCTATGATTGGTGTTTATTTACCAATTAGTATAATAATTACTATAAATAGGGCGCTCATGTTCCAGAGGGACTTTACAAATAATATGATAAACACTAATTAAAAATAAGAGTATAATTATTCTATCAATATAATGCTTCTTGTTCCTTTAAACCAATAAAAATTTTACTTAAAATTAAAACTTAATAGATACTATTGTTTATTTTTAAAATTAAAATAATGATACTTAAAATAAAAATATTTAAATATTATTATTTTTAAATCATATAATATGTTACTGAAAATAATGATAAAATATACATTGGATATTTGAAGTATAATATTTATTTAATTTATTTTTTTATAAGTAAATAAATAAATAATCTTTCAAGTTACCAAAAAAATTTATCTTATATTTCAGCTAATTTTTTAATTTAACTATTTTTTTTTATTATATTGATGCTAATTTAAAATATGAATGATCTTTTTAATAACCATGTTACTAATGATATACAATAATGAATATTATGACACAATGTTTTAAAAACTTAATTGTAATTTAAATTTAAAAATAAACTATTTCTTATACTGTAATTAAGATATTATCATACAAGGTAATTTTTTTTAAGCACATGATTAGAAAAAAGTGAAAGATAATGGGGTTAGTATGCATACTTGACATTAATATCTAAACTTGGTATTACTATGCTTGGCTTGACTTCTAGACGGTTTTTTTTTTTTGACATAAAAACAAAGTTTATTTGATGCATTAATTAAATAACATTGGTATAAGGAACTACTTAAAATTTTATACCTAGAAAAGTTAGCTACAATTACATCTTTCTAATTACATTTTTGTATACTATCAAACCACTTTATGATATTTAAGTTCCATTCAATTACATTATGCTATCAAGAACCTATTAGCTTTTTCCAAAATCCATCAAAGATGGTCTTGAACTTGGTGGCACAAAGCATAATGAATATCTATGTGTGGACCAATTATTTGTCACCATGTGTTAATTGCCAAATTAACCAAATAAGTATTGCAACCATGTATTAATTGCCAAATTAGCCAATTAAATATTACATCTTTATAAGACACCTTCGTACCATATGTGCTAAATGAACATTTCTTCATAGGAATGGGGTTGGAATCAAATGTCATTTACAAGAGATGTCATGATTTAATAATATACTTCAAGCAAGTCGATAGGAGAAGCTTCTTTGAAGCTGACATACTTTTGAGTGACAAAGTATGTCACGATATATTTCCCTACTACCCGCAACTATAATTTAGGAACTTGAGGAGCCTTTCCAATTAAACTTCAGTAAAGATGTTCATCAGTAGTTTAACATATGCATGAGGGGTGGTTCTGTGGTGAAAATATAGTCTGTTTATATTAAGCTACGACGACTATATCTGAAGTAGTCTGACATATAAAGAGATTATAGATTAACTGGAGATGAGATTTTCTCACAAAGTCAATTGATATAGCATCTTACGATATACGATGCTGATTCGAAAAAGGTCTCGACCTCCTACAATCGGAGGAACGTTATGCCTTTTGTCTATGTTGACAGGGCGGTGGTAAAACACAAATCTGTCATGAGTTCACCATCTGCACACTGGTAAGTTGCTACTAAAAGAATTGCTGCGGAAAATTCCTACTATTCTGCCATGTGACATTGTTTGTCTAATGCTACTTGGATTGAATGCCGTAACCTCTACCGCAGTACTGCCGACTTGGTATCCAGCATTTTACTCTGAAGTGTCGATGAGATCATACTCGTGTGATATAGAAAGAGGTGTCTCTTTCGACACAGGCCGTTCTGCAGACCAAAGCTCAAGCGTTACAGATCCAGGGCCCCATTTGACATGACACGATTCTACTTCCTTGATGTCAAATGTATTGACAATTGCCAGGCCAGTTTCCGAGTCTAAAAGCATCCACTCGCCTGCATAAGAACACCACATTTAAGATCAGAGCCAGGTAACAAATAGCACAATTATAGAATCACAAGAGAGCACAGAGTCAACTAATGCCAAAATCATATTATCGAATACTATCAGCATGTCTAATAACGAGAATACAGCACAAAGTGGCTTGATGTGTATGCCATTACCATTGGGTCTATCAGACCCTTCAATGGGAAATTCGCCGAACTCCATATTAGGCTTCAGCTCCCGCGCCGTTCCATCTATAGCCTTATATTTAATGTAGGATGCCATAGGATGCACAATCTTGAACATAGGATGAATACGCAGACGGACAAGCCTGGAGAAGCCACCAGACCCAGCACCGACTGACCGTGCCACGATACTGGAGCTGATTTTCACCTTGCTTAATGAATCATGAGGAAGAAGAATCTCTCGAGCCAGTATTAATCCACCCCCGATATCCCCTTCCATTCCCAGAACCTCGTAACCCGAAATTTGTGCAACATCACGCCTGAAGCATAACAACCTCTTAGTCAATGGAATGACTCGGAGGTACTTCTTGTACATCAGTGAAGACTATCAATCACATACTTGAGAAAACCAAAATGAGAGAGAAGCACCCGAAGGCTTCGTGAAAACAGAATATAAAGATGACAGACAGACTTCTGAGTAACACAGCATAGAACAGACTGTGAACATACTTGACGACTTTGTAGTCCTCATTCCAACCAGCAGACTTGAATTCGGTGCCACTGAACTCCTCATAACCACCATTTTCCAATCTTCCTTCCATCCAATCATAGCCTGACGGCTTATGAATCATGGACATTATGTGACCACCAAGCCAAGGCACCACCTTCACAAACACATTTCCTTTGTCAAGGTCTTCCGGCATCTTCACAGCTCCCACCCCCATAATCGGGTGGTGATCTTCAAAGACCTCGTCTAACAAACTCTGCATTCTCTCTGCAATGAAATTTCCGAATAAAGGTCAGTAATGATACTGATTGTCGGCAACCCGTCTCCATCACGGTTTTGGCAAATATTGAAACAGGTTAACTTGGCATTCAGATGAAACAAACCTAATTTGCTGAATCCGGTCTCGCGTTTCACTATGACTGATTTGTTGATTTCATCCTCTGTCGGTAGATGGATTCTGAGCTCCTCTCCATCAACACACTCGCCTTCCACCTGTTCAATTTTAATTTTTTTAACTACGTATAGACTTCGGATAAGAAGATATTTACTGCTGCAGATCTCTTTGAAAATTCAGAGGTAACCTTCAACATACCTCTACGTTTTCGCCGATTAAAAGTCGCACGTGAAGCGTGCGCTTTGGCCTCTCACGATGGCCTTCAGTAGAAGCGACCCGAATTACAACCTCTCCATCCTTTGATTTTAAACTTGGTACTCTCTCTGCTTCGTAATGAGTAACCAAATAGTCACCATTCTTGAAGTCGAAACCATCACCGCCATCTTCATATAAAGATCCAGCTGCCTTTCCTGGTAGAGGCAAAGCACAAAGTGTAAGAAAGTAGTAAAAAAAAACTATAATGCACATCCATCTTAAGAAAACATGGGTCATCCAACCCAAAAGAGAAAAGAAGGTTACCGTTGTAATCCAGTGCAATTAAGAGAGTAATTGTGTCAGTGGGGCTAGCTTCAGCAGTACACTGAATCACCGGCCCGGTGGGAACAATAGCACCACCCTTCAGAAAAAGCAATGGCAATTCCTGTAAAGGTCGAGAAAACACATAAGGAACATGTCAACATTTTCATGTATTATCAACATGAACTTAAATCCACCAATCACTCAATTCCAATTCAGCACAGAAAACTTAAATAAATAAATAAATAAAACACAGGTTGCTGTTGAACATTGACAAGTAACACACCGGATGATCATCATCAAAGTGGAACCGCTGCCAGATTCCTTTCGGCAACAGGAAAGCTGCATTACAATCTCGTTTCTTTGGTGAAGGCCTGCACAGAAACAATGTACCAACATAAGGGCAATGATAGAAATTTCAAGAAACAGAAACAAAACCTGGCATTCCCTTGCGCACAGAAAGAAAATTACCGACTTAAATATAGATAAAAGTCACGGTACTTACCAAGTTTTAACTAGAATAGAACCTAGCAGGAAGCTGTCATCAATCTTGCGAAGCTTTGGGTCTGTGGGATCTGCTCAAACGAGAAGTACAATTCATTGATTCCGCTTGCGAACAGAAAGCGTTCTGATATACAGTGAAGAGAAAAACAATGTGAAATTTATCGCATCTAAAGTAAAAATACTGAAAACCACAGTATAATACCAGCAAAGAAGACGGGGGTCATCACAGGTACTCCTGTCACATGTGCCTTATGAAAAAGGGTGTAAAAGTGGTGTAACAGACGGTATCGTCTATTCAAAGCGATTCTCGAAAGCTCTTCCACCTACAACATAACAGTTACCAGCAGATAAGTTCAGAAATATTATTCATTGAGAAATACTCTTGTAGGTAAAAATACTTACAGAATGCTATTCTGGAGTGAAAAAAAAAAAAAAAAAAAAAAAAAAAAAAAAAGTTCAAAACACACCTCAGGACCAAAGGACCAAGGTTCCTGGTCGATAGTTCCCTGTTCAGAATGTCCTCTTGCAAAGGGTAACATAGCTCCAAGACCCATCCACCGAGCGAACATTTTGGGAGTAGAATCTCCGGCAAATCCACCAATATCTGGACCAGAGAAGGGTTGACCACTCAATCCCTGCAGAGGAAATATCAGAAACCAGTAAAATTTGAACCGTCAGGTCAAGCCTAAGACGCACTCGTACCAAAATGCAGGGAAATGAGATTTATTTGAGTAGCAACATGTAGAGTTAACTGAGTATTAACCGAGTGCGAATAGAACTGAGGGCGAACTTGCACATACCAGGTTGAGCGCCATGGGAATACTCATTCCGAGGTGTTCCCAATTAGCAAGGTTATCACCAGTCCAGGTCGCCGCATATCTATGAGCACCAATAAATGCTGCCCTAGTCAACACAAATGGTCGCTTGTTCTCATTTGCCAGCAACATACCTTCATATGTTGATCTTGCCTGAAACATCCCATAGACCTGCATTTGACAGTACAATGAGACATAACTGGTACACAATAATCAAACCACTTCTTCGGATAATTAATGACATCTGAACATAACCCCATCAACATGTCCCATAGTGCTAAGAAAATGAGTAAGTCATACTTGATGCTTGCGAGAAGGCTTACATTATGGTAGTGTGAGTGGCTCTGACGACCGCCAACTTCCTCATCTCCGAGATGAATGTTTGTCTCGGGCATAGTCTTGGAAACAGTCTGCACGACGCCGAAGTCGCATCAAATATCTCCGAAGCATGCAGAATATAACCAAATAAGGCCAAGAGTAATCCATCGATATGAAATCAATCCTTCAGTACTAGTAACCACTGACGAATTTGAATAGATTTTTAAAAGATATACGACTGAGCAACGCAAAACAAAATAAAACTAAATGAAAAAGTAGCGCGTACTGAGCGTTACTCGGAACATGTTACGTGTGTCAGCTTGAAGACATGATCACCCAATGACACTGTATATATATTGAAGACAAGCCATTCCTAACCTTGAATACTGCTGGTTCGTTCATATCGTTCCAAATACCATCCACACCAATGGCAACGAATTTTTTCACAAGTCCAGCCCACCACTCGCGCGTTTTCTTGTTCAAAAAATCAGGGAATACAACCGGCCCTGGCCAGCATTCGCCTATAAAACGCAGAATTTAGCTCCAAATTTTTGACGGAAGGAAGCAATTAAACACTTTGAAAGCAATTCAAAAGAACTGAATCTTTCATGTCAGAAATTCGATCCAGCCCTACCACATGCATGATAATCAAGAACTGCATAAAACAACATTCTAGTGCACGAGAAGGCCTGGATGAAATACTTACCAACATAAGGCTTGCCATCAGCAGTCTGTATCCAAACGTCTGCCTCACATCCAGAGTCATAGGCTTCGTAGCCCTCCTCAGCCATGATTCCAGGGTCAAGCATCCAAATACCCTTGAAGCCAATGCTGTGCAATTCATCGGACAGTCCTTTGGGATCTGGAAATGCGTCCTACAATCAACCAAAAGAACCAAGATGCTGTAAACTAATCAAACAACCTCTTCTTTTGAACAGGTTAATGATTGGATATCTTGCGGCGATTTAAGATGTATGTCATTCGTCTCACAAATACTGTGGCTAGCAGCACTACTTACCTTGTCGAAAGTAAAGCACCTGAACCCTTGCATGTAATCAATGTCCATCCACATCACGTCACATGGAATCTTCTTTGCCCGGAAAGTTGTAGCCACCTAATTGAGGCGTAGTGACAAGTTGTGAGATAAACAGTCGCTCAACCAACGTTAATCAAATACACCGAACGCAATCCACAGAGATAGCAAATGCAAGCAGGTGTCAGAAATCCAGGCATCGTACTTCAGAAACTCTTGCTGCCGTTTCATAACTCCATCTGCATTGTTGATAACCAAGTGCCCATTTTGGGGGCATTTGCATAGTACCTGCCATATCAACTAAGGTCAGCACAGAAGTGACACGCATCGCAATAAAACAGAGAACAAAGAATGTGAGATACACACTCCATATTTGAAATTCAGATGGCAGAAGGCCAGCATACCAATGGCATGTGAAAGTGAGGTCATGAGCACTTCTGGCGTAGGGAATGGTCCGAAAGTAACCACTGGAAATGGAGCCACTGCTACAATTTTAATAATTGCGTCTTTCCTCAAATCAATCTGCAACGAAATCAAAGAGACGCATTATCAACACAGCTGGAGACTTCTCATTTATCAGGTCTAAAAGGTGTGGTTATTTGAGTCTTCTAAATGAAAAACTAAAGATGCCAAGCATGATGTAGCAAAACAAGGATAAGCCGCAAAACTCACTTCACACCGCCTCGTCGTGTCAGCCAATACTCCGAAAGCTTCCCCAGTTGGAAGTACTACGAAGACCCACGGATGTGATTGATACAATGAAGTGGTATTCTGATTGTAGCCCCATGCATCGGTATTCCATGAATAAATCTGCAGAGAACAACAGCGCATACACATTGCACTTCGATTATTACAGAAAGAAAAGGGGACAGCAGTAGAATTGCCACAGAAACAGTAGGATGATTTGAGGCAACATATAGTTGCAATGTGTGACTGCACAACGTAGATGCTGTCGATGAGCAAAGGCTTACCCGCTTCCCAGTGCGCTCAACGGGTCCACCGACTTCACCAGTTCCATAGAAGGACGTTCCAGGCGAAAACTTCAAAATGACACCAAAAAAAAGCTTTCAGGAGCATTGCGAGATTTCATTGTATGTGTGAAGAAAGGCCGATTTAAAACACACTGATTAAAAAGAATCATCCGTCGCAATTTTAAGAAGCCAAACACTTAGATTGAGTAAAAAGACTTTCGGTGATCAATAGACAAGATATTAAACGATGAGAATGTCAAAGATCAAGAATGGAATGCTGCTTAGAATCATCACATCCCCCTTCAATGATAATGCTCAGAAACTACTGACCTTTAGAGTAACAACTTGGTAAATGCCGTCGCGCTCAAACTCAGGAAAAATTACGGGTTCATTATCCGGAACCTTGATTTCCTCCTCACGCAGTTTGGGGTTAAGAAAAGAAACGGAAGGCGCCGCTTCATTTCTAGCACTTTCCGACTCGTCAAAACGGTAGACAGACTTCTCAACAATTGGCAAGTGGGTTGCCATCGCTGAGGCAACCGTTATTCCTCCGACCTGCGAGTCCAGCACATCAGTGAACACAGTCCTAGCTGAGCTTGATTTGAAAGACTAGAACACTGAAGTTTTTAAAGAACACTAATAGCACGATCCAATTAAAGAACAGAGGTGTAATCTTAGGCTATGGTGATGACTCGTGCCTTAATAAGGATGCCTTGTGAGCAGCAGTTTCGTCACTGCATACATATACCTTGAAAAAATAAAAAAATAAAAATTAACTTCAATTCCTACTTCTAAAAGTTAATATGCTCAAAATGTTGGACGAGTCAGAAGAAGCCAGGAAAGAACTCTCAACCACCAGTTTCTGTAGCACTCAAATTTTGAAAACCCGCTTCAGAGACGACATCTCTACGACTTTTAGAAACACTCTAATGTGAAGAGTAGTATATACGCCTTGGGCTTCGCAGCTGTACTACAGTGAAAAAGGAATATCTGTGAAGTATCCTTTTCAGAAGAATGTTCCTCGAAGATCACGAATCTTAATAAATAATGTTCGCAATCCAAAGGAAAACTTAGGAGATGCATGCAGCTGTATAACCAGATCCTCATGCAAAACCAGATTGTTAGTCGCTACTAGATTATCCAATATACTTTCAAAGCTGTCCGAATTTGAGACGCGGCAACAGTAAGTCTAAAATCACGTGAAACTAAGTAGCAAATGATAAAATCAGGAATTAATATTTCTAATCAAAATTATCTGATTATCTATGTGTTAACAAACATATAAGTTTAAACCCTCGCGGAAGTGCTTGAAATTACCGCAACTTATGTCGAGTGAAAGGAAACGATACAATGCTTGGAAATACATCATTACAAGACTATTGTTACAAGACTAGCAGGAAGAAGACGATCCTCTACTTGCAATACCCAAGGCTTCCAGAATCAAGCTTCGGAACATCCACGAGAGCAGAACAGCTGACAGAAACCAACAGCACCTGGACCCTCGGGCAGGGATATGAATTGGTATTCACAGGCCCAATTAGTCGATTATGAGTAAACTAAGCTATGGACGACCTGATCGACTGCACACCCGACGCATTATTGCATCCAGTACGGGAAGCAGAAGTCTAACTCCCGCACACTACTTACCCGAATCCAATACACCGATCCAAGAAACAGTGTCTAACAAAGAACACACAAGGCTTCCAAGCCAACAAAATCCAGCATCAACACTGCAATACATCACCGTGCTGCATTGTTCTCTACCGCTACATACCAAAACCCGCGAAGCCACAAGGATTTGGAGAGCATTCGTGCGCAGTCAGAACTATTCGACCTCATCTAAACACATAACCGCAACCACTCCTTCCACTCGTACAAAACCAAAACGGAACTTCCCCGGGCAATGACAATGCGCACCTGGATTGCGTCGATTCGGACTCTTAATCCAATAGCCTCACCATGCGAGTTAGCGTAGTAAAGTCACGTCGCCACTCGAAAACAGAGGCGCAGAAGGACCAGCGAGCAGCGCGATCGCGGAAGCGGCCAGATCCAGGCCTGTACACGAGCAATCGGAGCGATCCACAAGAGAGCCAACAATCACAACAACAACAACAACGCAGGATCGACAGTGGTAGGGAGGAAGGGATTATAAAGGAGGTGCAAGGAGGGCTCTGCGATCGCGGATGAATCTCACCGACAAGAGCTCCGTAATTCATGCTCAGTTGCGGCATCAAGTGTGTCTTAAAATAATCAATCTACACGGGAATTATTGCTGTAGTTCAGGAATCGGTCGAGTATGGTAATTTTTGATCATATGAGCCATTGGCCCCTTGCAAGAATAGGACTTACTGCTAATCTAAGGTCTTTGGGAAGCTAGGGTTTCATGACTTCTCCATGGTTGCCTTCATGGGTACAGTTTGTTTAGTGTTCTTTGCCTCTCATGTTCACATTCTTCTTTACTGTTTGTTTGTTTGTATTTTATTTTATTTTTGCAATTTTGTGTATAAGTGCTTGTACAATTGTATATTTATTTCCTTATTTCTTTATTTATTTAGTTCTGATGCATTTGTTGCCCTTGTCGTCTTATTATTGTTCTCCACTCTGTCCACACCTAATGTATTTATTAAGGGCGGTAAATGAAGGGAGAGTAAAATAATAGATAATTTGCTTTTTCACCAAACTCCTCAGTTTTTCTTCATTGTACCAACTCAAGCTCTCTTATTGTACATTCACACATATTATTAGTGGTGCATGTTTCCATATATTTGTTGTTGTTTACCATGAAGGTGGAAGCAAATCACAAGAAAAAGTAAAACATTATTTTGGTGTTTTTCTTAAGTGACTTAAGAATTGTTATTGAAAGTTAATAGGGGACATACGTTTAGGATACCAACTGACATATTAAATCATTTTAATTGGTTGAAATATGTAGACCCATCAATTTCAACCAATCACAGACTTAAAAAAGTTGGATCTTTTCAACTCATACCTTGAATGTAAAGACCTCCAAGTAAGTATAAGTTTCCATCTGTGTGAAGAGTATCTCGATGTATTCCTCCATGGGTCATATTTATCTTGGAGTGGAAGCATGACTTAACTGAGAAACAGCCTAGCACCAATCATCTATTACAGTCAATTATTGGTACAGTGTTTACCAGATTTTCATTTTAAATCATCAAGTATGGCATGTTGTGCAAAGCAATATTCCATGAGAGCACTCCCAAGTCATACACATCCACAAATACAATAATCACCCCTTCCTCTAAATAAGGAAGGAGCTATTCTTGAGTTTCCTCAAATCCCACCAGAACATGGTTTATTCCAGGACTTATTTTTTACTTTTTTAATAATTCTATAAATATAATAAAGAATAGAACTAAATTAAATATTGATACATAATTAGAATCTGGTTTGATTTGAAACAATCATTTTTCTCAAAGGATTCAAATTCTGCAATAGAAAATAAAAATTCAAGTTGAAAACAAACCCAATTTGGTGGAGATGAATTAAATTAGAATGGCTCTTCCATGTCAACAAGAGAAGTGTGTTGGTTGTAATGTGCCTGAACAGCCGTGATTGGGTTGACCATTGATTGTGTTTTTATTTCACAACAGTGCAAAGCATCTCCAATCCTACAAGGCACAAAATTATGTACAACTGGTCATCTTGAGGGAATTTATGGTTATGCTCCAAAATCAACATTCAAGATATTTTTGCCAATCCAAACCATCCCAGAAGATGCTCCATTAAGGAATGTGATTATATGGTTAGCATTCTGTGTTAGGGTTTTGCTTCACAAGATGGCCCAGAAATTCAGGGTAGGCCTCAATATGGCTTAGGAGTTGATGGTGAGTGATGCATTTGAGGTTGATTGTCCCCTCTACTGTCTGCATGTCAAGTTGGAGGTGACTGATTTCACTCCATCATAAAGGGTCAAAAGTGAAAGCAAGTACAATCACAAAACTAATGGAATGTTTGCCAAGTATACAAGTCCATCTTGCAGAATGCAACATCTGGCTTCATACTGTCAGCTGGACAACTTTTGTATTTGAAATTCCTAACTTTGTCAGACAGATTTTTCTAAGTGTAAAGTGAATTCAAGCCATACACAACACCATTCTTATTAGTTAGTTTGTGCTATTTCAGGCATGATTTATCCCACACTAATCATGCTTTTCTTTCTGTTGCTGGGATTTCTTATGGAATCCTGAGTTGTGTCAGATGCAGTCTGCATCTCATATCTTCACATGTGTGGTGTGTGCTTAAAAAAAACGGATCAAGTTGCATTGGATTATCACAGAAATATATGTATATTTTTTCCGACAAAATCCATAACTGACAAAAAATCTAAACAAAAAATGGAGAGGACCACAAACAAAACGGAACCTGTTTTGGTGGGGGCATGTAAAGCATGAAATGGAACCCCTCCAACATTCAGTACAGTGCTCATTAATGAGAATGCAAAATGAGCGTTACATGAAACAAACACCCTAAAATTTCAATTGTCTGAATAATTGATGTTGATAGTGCTCAACTAGTTCCTTTTGAAATAGTCTTAGATATGATGAAACACATGCATTCAACCACTCTTACTACTATGGTATTCAATTGGATGCATTTCCACATGAGTCAAGTAGATACATAAGAAATTATTATGTTTTCTAATTATATTTTAAAATTTAAAATTAATTATTATTATGCATCATTCAATAAATTTAATATATATACTAGATTTTTATTTTAGTGCCTTTTAAAAAAATATATGGAATATATGCATATATATATATATATATATATATACATTGACATGCATTGAACACATTCAAATATCTATATAGCAAAATCTTGTTATGTGTCTTATACATTGAAAATAACAGAACTTGTTTATAAGCATCCATCCAAACCAAATTTCATCTCTCCACCCATCCATTTGTATGTGAGTTCATCCAAAATTATTGAATGTGTTTAATGCATATGAAAAAAATTAAGGATCCAAATAAGTGAAAAAGGGGCTCCAATGTTTTTCAAGCCATTTTTAAAAAAAAAAATTATTTTATTAATAAATACTATCTAAAGTAATTTACATATTTATTTTTTTGAACTTCATGTTCATTATTAAAAAAGGATAAAATCTGTCATTGGTGTGCACAAAAATACACACACACACAAATATATATATATATATATATATATACACATACAAAAATAAATGCAAATAAACAAATAGAAAGTAAAATAATTTAAAATAATTAGTTGTTATTATATATATATATATATATATATATATATATATAATTTATTTTAAATCAAAAACATACTTGATTTGAGTGTATGTATTTCTAATCCACGTCTAAAATAAATTAAATGCTTTGTAGAAAAGACATTATCTACCTAATATGTTACTATTTACTTTTACTTGCTTCTATTTACTTAAATGATTTGAGCATTCATTATAATTTAAAATCTCTAATTTTTTCTAAAATTATTTTACACAAATGAAAGCTAATTTTAATATAAATGGTATAAAATATATTTTTTGCAACATATACAAATGTATCTATTGTAATAAGTAAATAATTAATATTTGCACAATTAAACCTTCTCTAATTCCTTTTCTATTTTTTTTTTAATATTTTCAAATAAATAGTAGAAAAAATTAAGATTATATTATATTTAATTTATACAAGAGTTTATTTCTTTAAACCATGAGGAGACCAAAACAACAAGATTATTTAGAAGCTTATTATTGATAAATATCACTCTATTTTTATAATAAAGAGTAATTAGGTCAATTAAAATTGTATTTTTTAAATATTTTTTAAATATAAAAATTGATCATAAATAAAATTTAAAGAGTAAAGTTTATTATTATGTAAACTTTATTATAAATATTTTAGAAAATATTTATTAAAAAAAATGAACAAAGATTATAAAATGATATATATTTAGAATTATATACTTTTTAGGTCTTAACTTTTTTAATAATAAAATAAAATTTATTTTGATAACAATGTTTCACAATACAAATATTACATTTCTTCTATTTTGATTTGATAGAGTTGGCTTTTTAGCACTTTTCTTGTTTAATTTATTTTTTATTTTTTATATACGTATATAATTATGTACCACTGGTCATCTTAAGGAAAATTTGTTTATATATATATATATATATATATATATATATGATTTAAAAAAGAAAAATTATTCTTAAAATTTTAAATAATACTTGAATTTTTTTTATAGATACTTATTATTTTTAAAATATTATATTTTAGTATGTTAAATTTAAGTATTAATAAATAATTAATATATATTTATAAAAATTTATATCAAAATATGATAGTTACATATATTATCAAGGACTTGAATCTCAAAGAAGGAAAATCCTTAATATACTCTTGTATCACTGAAAGGAACTAAAAAATTACTCAAAAATGATATAATATTGAACTAAAATGGCTATTGCCAAAAAACAAGAAGATTAGAAAGTCTTGAAACAAGAGTAAGGACTAAAAAGGCATTGACAAGAGTGAAGAAGGCTTCATTCTTGCTTCCATATATACTCTTAACTAGGAGTTATGTGGCGATGTCCTATAGGACCTCCAAAACATGTTGACTTTGCAAGACACGTATCTTAACTTGCAAGGCAAGTTTTCTATATGTGTGCCACATAAATTAACTTGTTCCGCAATCTATCAACATGTGATTAACTTGTTGACCAAGTTTCTAACCTATCAATCAACTACAAATACATATAAAGTCAAAGTAGCCTCTATGAAGCTTCTCTAAAACATATTATGAAATTTACTTACTTTTATTTATTTTTTCCTACTCCTATTTAATCATATAGGTATTTATTAGAATATCTATGTATATCCGTGACATATATATATATATATATATATATATATATAAAGAAAAAATATTTTTTAAAATATAAAAAATAAAATACAATAAAAACCAACACTAGTGTATAGGAATGATGTTGGAAAAATCATTGATAGTTCTAAAATGTATTTTTTATAATTATTTTTCAAGACCTCAAGACTTATAATTCAAATGTTTAAGGAACAAAATATCTCTTTTATACCTTGAAGACAAAAAATCTTGCAAATAAAGTTTTTAATAATAAAATATATTTATAAAAACATAGAGATCTAATATATGTCTATTTTTTATTTTTTTATTTCTTTGTATTTATCAAAGAATATATGATGTGCTTAACAAACTTTTCATTCATCCTTATTTACTCTTTTTTTAAAATACTATAAATACAAGTTTGTTATTGATAAATATTTTTAAATTATTTTTTCTAATTTAT